AAAAATTACTAGTGTAAAACCATTCAAACGGGAAAACCAACGGTCTAATCTATATAAAAACGAGAAACGAGAAACATGTATGAACTACATAAACAGACGACAACTACTGTACATCAGATTCATGACTTAGGACAGGTGCAAACATTTGCAGCGGGATTAAACGTTTTAATGGTACCAAACCTTCTCCCTTTTCTGAAGCAATAGTATAACATCACAACATAGAAAGACACACTATAAAGTATCAATTAGAAGGCAGTATTTTGTCTGTATGTGTTTATTTCAGTGATATTTGAAAGATATTATTACAGTGTTGTTTGTATGGTAATTATTTCAGTATTTTCTGATTATATCAGTATTTTGTCTGTATGTGTTTACTTCAGTGATATTTGATAGATATTATTACAGTGTTGTTTGTATGGTAATTATTTCAGAATTTTCTGATTATATCAGTATTTTGTCTGTATGTGTTTACCTCAGTGATATTTAAAAGATATTATTACAGTGATGTATGTATTATAATTATTTCAGTATTGTAAATTGAAATTAGTGCTTTTCTGGACGCTGTTATTTCGGTTTTGTCTGTTTCGAAATTATTTCAGTGTTGTATGTATTAAGTGTTGTCAATATTGTAATTATTTCAGTGATTTTTTAGTAATTATTTCAGTATTTTATCTAGATATTATTTCAGTGTTGTATGTATGTTTATTTCAGTGTAGTATAATTGTGATTGTTTAAGTGTTGTGTGTATGTGATAATTTCAGTGTGGTATGTTTGTGACTACTTCAGTGTGGTATGTTTTTGACTATTTCATTGTGGTAGGTTTGTGACTATTTTGGTTTGATCATTTAGGTTTGGTATGTTTGTGATTATTTCAGTTTGGTATGTTTCTGATTATTTGGTTTGGTATGTTTCTGATTATTTCGGTTTGGTATGTTTGTGATTATTTAAGTGTGGTATGATTGTGATTATTTAAGTGTGGTATGTTTGTGATTATTTCAGTGTGATATGTTTATGACTATATTTGTGTAGTATGTTTGTTTATTATGTCATTGTGGTTATGTTTGTGATTATTTCAGTAAGTATGTTTGTGATTGTTTCATTATGGTATGTTTGTGATTATTGAAGTGTGATATGTTTATGACTATTTTTGTGTAGTATGTTTGTTTATTATGTCATTGTGTTATGTTTGTGATCGTTTCAGTGTAGTATGTTTGTAATTTTTTCATTAAGGTATGTTTGTGATTATTTCAGTGTAGTATGTTTATGACTATTTTTGTGTAGTATGTTTGTTAATCATGTCATTGTGTTATGTTTGTGATCATTTCAGTGTAGTATGTTTGTGATTATGTCATTGTGGTATGTTTGTGATTATTTCAGTTAGTATGTTTGTGATTGTTTCATTATGGTATGTTTGTGACTATTTCTGTGTAGTATGTCTGATTATTTCAGTGTAGTATGTTTGTGATTATTTCATTGTGGTATGTTTGTGATTATTTCAGTAAGTATGTTTGTGATTGTTTCATTATGGTATGTTTGTGACTATTTCAGTGTGGTATGTTTGTGATTATTTCAGTGTGGTATGTTTGTGATTATTTTGGTGTGGTATGTTTGTGATTATTTCAGTTTGGTATGTTTGTAATTATTCATTATGGTATGTTTGTGATCATTTCAGTGTAGTATGTTTGTGATTATTTCAGTGTAGTATGTTTGTGATTATTTTAGTGTGGTATGTTTGTGATTATTTCATTATGGTATGTTTGTGATTTGTTCAGTGTAGTATGTTTGTGATTATTTTAGTGTGGTATGTTTGTGATTATTTCATTGTGGTATGTTTGTGATCATTTCAGTGTAGTATGTTTGCGATTATTTATGTGTGGTATGTTTGTGATTATTTTAGTGTGGTATGTTTGTGATTATTTCATTGTAGTATGTTTGTGATTATTTCAGTTTGGTATGTTTGTGATTATTTCAGTGTAGTATGTTTGTGATTGTTTCATTATGGTATGTTTGTGACTATTTCTGTGCAGTATGTCTGTGATTATTTCAGTGTAGTATGCTTGTGATTACTTCATTGTGGTATGTTTGTGATTATTTCAGTTAGTATGTTTGTGATTGTTTCATTATGGTATGTTTGTGACTATTTCAGTGTGGTATGTTTGTGATTATTTCAGTGTAGTATGCTTTTGATTGTTTCGTTATGGTATGTTTGTGACTATTTCTGTGCAGTATGTCTGTGATTATTTCAGTGTAGTATGTTTGTGATTACTTCATTGTGGTATGTTTGTGATTGTTTCAGTTAGTATGTTTGTGATTGTTTCATTATGGTATGTTTGTGACTATTTCTGTGCAGCATGTCTGTGATTATTTCAGTGTAGTATGTTTGTGATTATTTCAGTTTGGTGGGTTTGTGATTATTTCAGCAATTGTCTGTATAGATATTTCATTCACTACGGCAGTAAGTTGAATATGATTTTGTTAATGGTATATATTTTTATGTGGGAATATATGCCAAATCTAAATAAAGTTTTGCTTTCTTACTTAATTGTAACATATTTCAATTCATATTTCATAATCAATTATTATTGGTCTTGGTTATTGTAGCCAATGTTGTTATCGTGATGACCACACTTGAATATATTCAGATTAAAGGTTAATTACACTAATGAATTACATTGATGACTTTAGATTACAAAAATGTATGTATTTTTTTTTAATATTTATAGACTGTTTTGGCATTAACTATCCTAGTAAAAACATCCATACCAAGGAATTTTTTTCGAACAGTGTGAATCCAAGATTGAATAAGAGTAAATAACATACGACTCGTAGTTAAAGCCAACTTTATGATAAATAAGACAACTAATATGTGTAAGGTTGGTCCTTTATGGGTTGTTATAGGATTGTTATTACGCATTTTTGGTTACACCACAGCACATATTTTTATCGTGAAATTATTTATTTCTATTGTGCCTTATTTTGTAGTGTCATCAATGAAATCTACCAACGCTAAAGGAAATTCAAAAAAAATATTGACTTTCTAACATGCTACTTAAATCAATCCTATTAACCCCATTGATCTTCCCATTGCCAATGAACCATGGAACCACATACCTATAACCTATTTAGTAGTCTATCATCCGTAGTATACAGTTGTCATGTATGAGTAGTCTGCATCATAGATATTTATCTAGGTTTACACTAAATTGATATTGTGAAATCATACAGTAATATGTTTCTAATTGCATTTTTTTTGTAAATTCCTCCCCATCCGTGAAAATACACTTGTTTACAAAAAAACCTTGAAGACAAGGACGACTGAATCGAAAAATTAATGAGATATCATGGAACTCTGCGAGATACTTTTGTGTGATAGTTTGTTGACTTTTGTTTACTCTTTTATGTCCATAGTGATTATAAGGTACTAAACGAGAAGGGTCGTTCACTTTACACAATTTGTTTTCTAGGTCAGCATGCTTGGCTGTACAAAATCAGAGTACCCTTCATATAAGTTATTATTAACTAGGTACAATGCAATGACCAAGTGTAGTTATATTTTATTAACTTAAAGGCATTTGAGATGGATGTGATTAAAGACAAATAAAACCCACCAAAGGCTGGAAAATATCCATTCTTACAAATGGTTAAACTTGTGCACAGCCTGATGGTTAAAACCGCAAATACTAGTAACAAAATAAGTAAAATGAAAATCCCAGAAACAAAAACAGGACCCCCCCCCCAAAGCACAGCCCGTTTAGAGCTTGATATATAATATAAACACCCGTTCGTCTTTAATTGCATATATTGACCTTCAGTCGTCATTTGGTTATTTGTTTTGTTAGGTTTCTGTCTTATTGGTATAAATCCCACTACTCCTTTAATTCAAAATAACAATTTAAACTGAAAAACAAAGTTACACATCCTTAACGACTACAAGAGTTCCGGTTTCTATTGTAAATATAAGTTCGATTATGAATAAGCGATAAACGTAAGGTAACCGTTAACTAAAAAAAATGTATATAATAGATGTATACCTCTACCTCAAGCAAACATTTGATTCAATGAAAAGAATAGCATACAACCATTAATGTTTCATTAAATAAACAGTTGCAATTGTCCAAAAGGTCTGGTAGTCCCGAACTAAAAAATGTTGGGCCAAAATACAAAGCTTCTATATACCCTAAAAGTGAAATAAATGCGTACTTTCAAATATAAAACTTTGAGGAGATCATTTAGACATGTCTAAAACAGAAGGTGACATCTTCAAGCTACATGTACTTGCAAATAATGTGCACAGTTTAAATAATGTTGAAAAACTATGTTAAATTAAAATAAATCAGAAGATGTGGTATGAGTGCCATTGAGACAACTCTCCAAAACATTTATTCATATTAATGTGTTTAATAATCATGCACATTTTCACTTAATTCTCCAGTCTAAATGGGAAATGATATGTATAAGAACAATTGTATTGCCTTTTCACAATGCACAAAGTAAAATCTACAGATGAAAGGGAGTTTCGATAGAAGCGTCTATGATACAACAACCAATAACATAAGAGATCTTTACACTTCCTATTTGCGTTAGGTCAAGCATATGATAAAATTCCATATTGACCATCGACAGACCATGTTTCGTACAGTATTTCGGGGAAGAAAAAAAAAAAACAGTCAAAATATTCAGCTTTTAACCGTCCGGTTTGCAAACAAAAAAATGTCCGATTATATAATTTGGGGCAGTAGGGCGGGCGGATTAAACTGTTTTCGTGCAATTACTAGAGAAGCGTTCAACCAATGTTTTTGAAATTTTAATATGTTGTAACTGAAGGAATAGATGTCTATTGGATAGTTTTACTTTTGCTGTACATGATCATTGATTAATTTGTTACAACATTAACGGTACCAATTTTTATGTAAATGGTAATTTACGTCGATTCCATGCGATAGCGAGTTTGGCCATTAATCTCTTTAACAATCAGACTAACAAATGCAAGAAAACAATGATTTAAGGTATAACAATTATTTTTATTGATCAACAAAAGAACTCAACCGTTCATAACAATATCACAAGTGTAAATTTGAGGACGGCATCTTACATTCTAGGTTTATTCATAGCATAACGCCACCAGTTACCAAGATCACTATTATGAAATACATTAACAAAGATTTATGAAGCAGATATCTGCAATATTAAGGACTTGTGTCAACTGAAAACTTTTGAAACCCATGATTATTGTTATAAAGTTTAATAGAAACTTGTTTTCACAGTAAGTGTATTGTGAGTCCACCCTGAGTTACACACACGTTTACACATCCTCTTCTTCAAGTTCGTTGTGTATTGTGAGTCCGTCCTGAGTTACATTACTGCTTTCTCTATTGTAAGTATTAACACATGTTTCAACGTCGGGATTTATAGCTGATATAGAAGAGGATTGTGAAATTGGTCTCTTCGGCTTCGATTTCTTTTTAGATTTTTTCTTTGTTTTGGGTTTTTGTTTTGGAGCTTCTTTATTATGTTCGTCCGTATATATACCAGAAACATCATTTACTCTACCTTTCATGGCTTTCGTTTGTTCTTCAGATATGGAATTTATCTTTTTCTTAAATTGCTCCTGCAGTTTTGAAGTTTTCCCTTCTACAAGTGTATTTTCACGGGCATTCATATCGACAAAATACGCGCCAAATTTCCGTCTTGCTTGTTCTTCATCCCATTGAGAGTTGTGTGTTTTCCCGCGACTTATTTTTCCATCTTGTGAAACATCGTCGATATCATCACCATCTTCATCAACGCCAGGCATGACCATCATTACAGGTGGTAGTCTTTCACTATCATTCTGACTTTGAATTTTCAGCATTGTTTTCCCATTTTTATGAACCGTCTTCGTTTTGTGGAATTTAAATACACTGTGTTGTTGTGGAATACTTTCTGCCTCGTTATGATCAGGAGAATTCGTTCCTATAGAGGTGCTTTTAGTACTGGCCGTATCGTAGTCTTTATTGGCACCGCCCGGTGTGTTACTGTTTGGAATCACTTGAGGTGGTACCGGAGAAGGATGATCCTCAATTTCAGTTTTATCAAACAAATTTATTTTTGTCTTAGATGGCGGTAGAGGGAACGTTTTTATTTCTTTCTTTGTCAATTTTTTGGTCGGTGGTTTTGGTGGCGGGTGAACGAATGTCGTATGTTGTCTTCTAAGTTCGTTCAGTAAAGGTGGTCTCCTACTATTTTTAGGATCAAATGAACTGTTTATTGGATTAAATGTATCTGTTTCTCCTTTGATTGGAAATTTTGTAGGAGCTGGCATCGGCGGAATACCAATATTTTGAAACAATTTTTCCTTATCTGGTTTCTTCGGTTCTACCGTTCTGCAGGCGTCGACGAAATAAAATGGAATAGTTATTGTTGCGATGACTGCACCAACCAATGCCAGATACCAGCCAATTGATACGGTGCTGTTCCCAGACTCTTTGTCGTTCTTATATATCATCAGACATGCAATTGCAAAGATAACTGTAAAGAAAGAAATGGTAAATTGTGAATAATCATAAGCTTAAAAAAATCACCGACAGTTATTTACGTTTTGTGAAACACCCCCCCCCCCCCCCCCCAAAAAAAAAAAAATGAAACAACATGTAGTGAACACGACAACACAGGGTGTTTTAGCTTCATTAAACTAGGTTTTTCTTTGACTTATAAATTGATTGTTATTTTAATATTTTATGCCTCCTTTTTGTTAATACGAATTAATAATTCACTTTGATTACCTTCTGCTTTTATCAGTGATGTTTAAATGCCGACAAGAAAACGTGTTTTTATTATGGAAATCGTTAATTTATATTGACAATTTAAGGCATTATTTATTCAAATATATCGTTGTATTGTCAGAAACTTTATCACCGTGCTCAAATTAAATTATTGTATTCAAGCAGTTGTGTGGTGAAAATTTATCAATAAGATGGTTGGAAATACAAATATACGTATTGGAAAATTAAAAAAATTGCATTACTTTTAAAAAAACTGACATGTTAATGGTGTTCTCGCATTTAAGTTTCAGTGTTAATGGCAACAATTTCCAACAGTTACTTTTGCAATTAAGCGAGATAATATTTCCAGTCCCCAACATGATCTTCATTCTTCACATACTAGTACACGACCCTAATTACATTTCTATCCAAATGTTATATTTCGTATTTGATTTGACCTTCTGTGTTGTGTCTGAGTGATCAAATAAATTCTTAACAAGGTCTTAACACAAATAAACAACTGTCGCCACCTTCCGACTATTTTGATTCGAGCGTCACTGACGAGTCTTTTTGTGGACGAAACGCACGCCAGGTATCTGGTATCTATGGTGATTTTTCATAGATTTTTAATTGTTCCTTTAAATAATCGAGCGTTTAAAAAAGAGGACGGAAAAATTTCCACTGAACTTATTTCACACTAGGGCTATTTTCATAAAGTTTTACAAACTTTGATTAAATTCATAGTATCATAACTCCATGCGTGTATTTTTTTTTTAGCTTTTAACAATATTATGGCTTATTTCTAAACTCATCGCCAAATTATCAAGGCCTTAGGACAGCTCATAACCACAGTTTTGACAGATTTTTACACATTTTTCCAAAAATGATTAAAAAGAACATCCCGAAACTTAATTATAGATTTGAATAGTCTTTCGGATGAAATGAACTCATTTTAGTGAGATACGTCTTGCGAAGCCATATTTAACAAAAACAAGTAAAATTTTGCATGTCTTGTTTATCAAAATGCATGCATTACATTTTGATTATATGATAATCGAAAATGTTTAGGATATATGATATAGACTCTATAATAGTCAATTTGAAGTAGGATTTGACAACTTTGAACTTTTGACTCTGCGAGAGAAACACATACAGAGGAAATTGGGACTACATTTAATACCTATTTTACATAAAACAGAGAAGGGAAATGGGGAATGTGTCAAAGAGACAACAACAACCCGATCAAATGGGTCTTCAACGCATCGAGAAAATCCTGCACCCGGAGGCGGGCGTCAGTCGGTACCTAAACAATAACGTAAACTAGTTCAGCGAAATGGACGCCACACTAATCCGAAAAAATACAAATTAAACGAAATTAAAAAAAAACCACACACACACAAGACTTACAAAGCTAGAGGTTCCTGACTTGGGACAGGCGCAAAAAATAAAAACCCACACACACACAAGACTTACAAAGCTAGAGGTTCCTGACTTGGGACAGTCGCAAAAAATAAAAACCCACACACACACAAGACTTACAAAGCTAGAGGTTCCTGGGACAGGCGCACGTGTGTTCCTTACCTGCTAAAACAGCCAAAACAACTGTTGTATATTTTATTGCTCTCGCCTTCTTCCACTGATTTGTCCAGAATATAGTCAATGCAGCCATCACCACAAACAAAATGAAGAAAGATAGTCCCAGACATGACAGAATCTGAGTTATTTTGTGGTCAGCTGAAATATAAAAATACAAAATCAAGTTAAGTATGCACTAGTCTATTGTACGAAACCAGTTCTAGAGTGCACCATCATTTTCTTTGGGTCGTCTTCAAATTTGAATAGAGAATTCATCTTATTAAACCATCGAATATCATCTATAATCAGAAAATCTAAAACTATCCCATATTAATTACTGTCACCGGAATAGCGCCATCATTTTTTTTACCGGATCCACTTAACGCTTTGAAAAATATTTCCTCTCATCAAAACCAAAGACTAGTTGGCTTATCGTATCAAAACTGAATTGGGGGTTAAAGTCTGCTGGGACATATATACCATTTTAATTCTTGTCACAAGAATAAATTCCCTCGTTTTTTATCAGATCATTATTATTATTGTGAGAAGGTTTCCACTTCAATATTCAGACAAATTTGAATTTATGGATCATTTTTGGGAGAGGATTTCTAAGAATATGTGGAGGATTTGGTAATGTGAGCTTCCTCACTAAAGATTCTTTAATGAGAAAAGATCATGTGAGCTTCCTCACTAAAGATTCTTTAATGAAAAAAGATAATGTGAGCTTCCTCACTAAAGATCCTTTAATGAGAAAGTTATATACTGGTAGTTCATAAACTTTAAAAAGAAATGCATCAAACTAAGAAAGTGAAACCTTTCACCATTTTCATTTGATTAGGTAACGCCATGCAACTTGAGAAAAAATAAACTGATATTTTTAAGAATCCTTTAGAGAATCTAGAATGGTCAACATTATAAGCCAAAGATAAAGGGGGAAATGAAACGGTTACTCGGTAGATTATTCTTACACCTGCTTAAATCTGACTTTTTTAGTTGTTAAACTCATGTTGTTTTAACCTCTTGTAAGAAGAAACTAATTTGATAACATGAAGCTCAAGTTCTCACTCACCAGATTTAAGATTGTCCGGCCACACAGCACAAGTAGCAACGCCACCATTTAAATAACACGTTTGCCACAGTCCATCGTTTCCATCTTTGTGAGAAGACCATTTTGGAATGGCGAACGCCGCAATATATAGAATAAGTCCAATTGCAGAAAACACAAACAGTGCAATGCGTAGTTTCATGTATGTTGATGCCATTTTAATTGTATCCGGTAACTAATAATAAATAATGAGTTCACATGTCAGTCGTCATCTCATTCAACTATTTTCACAAATTTTCGAACTTTCAATATAATCCGAAATATTTCTTCTCCTTCACAAATTTAAAAATCTTGCACACCGAAAATTATCTTCTTGTTTTCTGTGAAATTGTACGGAGCTGAAAAATAAACTGTTTGATATATATGATGACGTATCAAGTTTACGAAGAAGATAGGTAAGCGGTTGACTTAATTCATCAAACCTTTTAAAGACGTCGTGAATTAAACATGACTTACATCATACAACCGATATATATATATTGAGTGCGTTTTGCGTGAATAAACACTACCTTTTACTTTTTCAGAACCAACGTGGTAGAACATACTTGGATTTTCCAATTATTCAAAATTAATTTAGGGCGATTTACACGGATTCGTTACATTTATAATTGACAAACAATTAAAGGCCACCAATTGACAAGTAATCTAATTACGTTAAATTATGTATAATAAGAATAACTAATTAATCCGAAACATAAATAAAACCGCTGTATTGACAGTAGTTATTTAATGCATTATGCTATCAGCGGAAAAACTTGTAAAATGGGAATTCTTCTTACAAAAGATGTGAAATGACATGAAATTATGTAAAATAAGAATAATTAATTTATCCCAAAAATAAATAAAACCGTTGTATTGACAGTACTTACTTAATTGTTTTATTGTTGTCAATAATCTGAGACTATTATATAGTAGTCTCAGATATAATGGAATTGTATGTGACTGTCATATAAGTGAGAGGTTTAGCTAGCTATAAAGCCAGGTTAAATCCACCATTTTCTACATAAGGAAATGCCTGTACCAAGTTAGGAATATGACAGTTGTTTTCCATTCGTTTGATGTGTTTTCAGCTTTTGATTTTGCCATTTGATAAGGGACTTTCCGTTTTGAACTTTCTTGGAGTTCAGTATTTTTGTTATTATACTTCTTAATACATTACGCTACGCGTGGGAAAACGTGTAAAACGGGAATTCATCTGACAAAATATGTGAAATTACGTGATATTATGTATTATAGGAATATTTGATTTATCCGAAACATAAATAAAACCGCTGTATTAACAGTATCTATTTAATATATAACGCTATATTAGTGGGAAACGTGTAAAACAGGAATTCTTCTTACAAAATATGTGATCATTCAGTTTGTTTACGTTGGTAACCAAAATTCGAAACCACAATCGCATCTTTTTTTTTTAAATTCAACTCTCAAACTATGTTATTTCAAATATACACGCAAAAGCTGCAAACATTATTCCTCACGAGAATTGCAGTTGAATCTTGAAACACGGTTTATCATATTTAAAGATAAAAAAAAGAGGAAAAATCATGTACACATAAAATCTTATAATATACTTTTTTCATACACAAGTTCTCAAAGTGTTCCACCTGGGACATAATATATATCATTAGTATAATAGTCCCAAAATCCCGTTAGTATAATAGTCCCAGCTTGGCCTTCGTAAAACGTAGATTTTACTGTCGCAAATTGAGTTTACCTAGCGACACGTAGCGGAGCTAGGTAAACGGATATTTGCGACAGTAAAATCAAGTTTTACAAAGGCCAAGCTTAAAATACAATACAGCTATCTTCAATCTAATGCCAAATATTAACATGAATTCCGTTTTAGTAAATATTTTAACTAAAAAATACCATGAAAAAAAAAGCCAGCGAAACTGTTACATCGTCTTTGGCATCTAAATAATGTGATGTCATAGGTATACTCCCGATGTCAAACATAACACTAGACGTATTTGTACTTTTCGTACACTTCTGAATGGTTTAAATATTGACAAAAAGAAGATTTTAAGGCACAAAATGTGACTTTTTTTGTTCATTTTTGGGGAAATTACATACGAAAAAAATTCGGAATTCAAAATGGTGACTTTCCTTAGTTACGGTCTGGTAGAACGTGGAATCTTTCCCTTCAAAATATTTGTTTACGTCCAATGAAAATTATCGGTACAAACGAATTGCATTAGAATGTGGGATTCGCGGCCTCATCGTGGTTCAAAGACCGCGGTGCTTACAAGTTTGTGTCTTTAAGTAATTTATTTGGTATATATGTGTAAAGGGTTTTAACGGCTTATCTTCGACAGCCTCTGTGAAATCGTTATACAACATTGTAGTCTATGGGTGATTTATAGCGAAAGAATGGTCATGTACGGTTGCCTATAACTGCTTACATCCACTTCATTTGAACCTGGGTGGATAGTTGTCTCATTAGCAATCATACCACATCTCCTTATTTTTATATTAAGACACATTTTTGTTATAAGACCATATGGTGATCAGGTGCGGATCCAGGATTTGATGTTTAGTTGGGGGGGGGGGGGGGGGGGGGGGGGGGGGGGGGGGAGGAAGAGAGGGGATATGCGCTCCTCAGATAATTCTGAGGACCATATTTTGACGCACCCATCTGAATCCGCGCCGGATGACCTCAATATGTCTTTCCTGTTTTTTATTGTTTGTTCTTGTTGTTGATTTACTGTCTTTTTCTATCCATCTCCTTTCATTGATGATCAAACAAAATGAAATTTATTAAAGTCCGAATGGAATAGTTGATTGAAGAAAAAGACGCCTGGAATCAATTAACCAACATCGTTTTGTATCAGAACTGAATTAAATTTCAAGCGAAGTCAAAATACCCGTATAATGGCCGGGTCGCTCTGCTCCATATCTCTCGTGTCATTTACACCATAAACATTTAATGTAGCTTCAAACAATTCTATAAGAATAAAAAAAAATGGATCGCGATAAAAGTAAACACATTCCATTGACAATGTTCGTCGTTTAAAATGAATACCTATTATTCTCTCCTGGCAACAAGGTAAATTAAAAAGTTTTCTTTTTACTATAGAACATTCTTTATTGACATGATAATGAGAATGGTCAATAGTCAAAAAGGGAGTAAATTAAGTGTATGGATATTAAATATACTTATGATTATTTACACATATACTCGATATGCTTAATAGATATAAAACAAGGGGAAATAACTTAATCAGTTTACCATATTAAATTTCATACTTTAAAGCCTAAAATTCTTAATGAAATAACAGTGATACATATCATGAAATAGAACCACATTTTTTTTTCTCCAGAAAGTATTCGTACTACATTTTTTTACCACTAAGCAGTACCAGTGAATAGTTACGTAAAATTGAGGGCAATTTATATGACAGTCTTTCATCTGGGCAATCATCTTGTGAAATGGCAGTCTATGAACCGGGGAGACATCTAGTCCAATGGCAGTTTTTGAACAGGATAGACATCTTGTGAAATGGCAGTCTAAGAACCGGGAAGACATCTGGTCAAATGTCAGTCTATGAACAGGGAGGACATCTTGTAAAATGTCAGTCTATGAACCGGATAGACATTGTGAAATTTCAGTCTATGAAACGGGGAGACATATGGTCAAATGGATGTCTATGAACTGGGTAGACATCTTGTAAAATGGCATTCTATGAAACGGAAAGACGTCTTGTGAATGTCAGTATATGCACCGTGGAGACATCTGGTCAAATGGTAGTCTGAACCGGGAGGACATCTTGTGACATGACAGTCTATGAACCGGATAGACATCTTGTGAAATGTAAGTCTATGAATGGGGAGACATCTGGTCAAATAGCTGTCTTGAACCGGGGAGATATCTTGTGAAACGGCAGTGTCTATGAACCGGTTAGAGATATTGTAAAATGGCAGTTTATGAACCGGGGAGACATCGGGTCAAATGGCTGTCGTCTATGAACAGGATAGACATCTAGTGAAATGGCAGTCAATGAACCGGGAGGACATCTTGTGAAATGGAAGTTGATGAACCGGGGAGACATATATTGAAATGGCAGTCTATGAACCGGAAGACATCTTGTGAAATGACAGTCTATTAATCGGGGAGACATCTTGTGAAATGTCAGTCTATGAACCGGATAGACATCTTGTGAAATGACAGTCTATGAACCGGGAGATATCTTGTGAAATGACAGTATATGGACCGGGGAGAGATCTTGTGAAATGACAGTCTATGAACCGGGAGATATCTTGTGAAATGATAGTCTATGAACCGGGGAGAAATCTTGTGAAATGTCAGTCTATGAACCGGATAGACATCTTGTGAAATGACACTCTTGAACCAGATAGACATCTTGTGAAATGGCGTCTATGAACCGGTTTAACAGTTAATGATCTGGGGAGTAATTTTGTTACATGGCAGTCTTTAAACGCAGGCAGTCATCTTATGAAATAATAACCAATGAACCAGGCAATCATCTTGTGAAAGAACAGTCTATGAACCGGACTGTCCTTGAACTCGGGAGTAATCATGTGATATGCAGTCTATGAACCGGGCAGTCATCGTTTGTTGTGTTGGCGGCTTTGAGTAAACAACTTTTTATATAGTATATATATATTTCGGAGATGATTAAAGGTATATGAACAGCTATATGGTCAGAAGTGTCATGAACTATTTGTTATATACTTTAATTGGCCGTTACTTAGATTTTACTACGAGTTGTCAATCTCTAGTGTATATGTCTATAGTAAACAGTGTAAACTTTATTTCAAATGTTGAAGAAAAGCAGTGTTATAATTATAATTTGCCTTGAATCCGAAATAAAGTTGCGCTCTATAGTCTTCAGTTTGTTCGTACATTTGTCGGTTTCTCTACAATAATTTTTGATAAAATTAAAAATTCCAAAAGTATGGGTAGGACGCCATCGAAATTTTGCAAAGTTGTCGTGTATACGATGTTGATGAGCAAATAAACTTTTTGATTAAACAATTTTGAGAAATACTTTTTGTAAACTGTTGTGTAGGTATACTAAGCAATTTCAAGTTGATAACTGATGTCATTTTTTTTCTTTTATGAAAAGGGGGGTGCGGAAAAAAACTTAGTTTTTGTTGAAAAATCACAAGTTTTAGAAATGTTTCACTGTGCATGGATTGCAATGGAAATTGATACGTAGGTATAATGTACTATTAAATTGTTTTTCTTTTTAAAGGAGGGGTAATTTCTACAATTCCATATCATGACCCTATTGTTTATGGTAAAATTGATTAAAACTTTTAGGCAATTTATCCATCAAAATATTTTAAGATTAGGTAGCAAATGCAATCTCAAAAATCAAATTGACACTCTTCTATATTGAATACTTTTTTTTGTTTCTGCATTTTAAAACCACGCATGAATTGTGTCTAATTTTCATGTCATTAAAAGTAGATGAAAAGCAGAGAAATTAAAAAT